GTTTGCGGCCTACGCCACGTATTTATCGGGTGAGACTGTTTTGGTGATGTAGTAACTTCACGAGAGGTCGACGACCGTCCTTCACACGGAAGAAAGAGGTAGTACTCAAGGAGCGGCTCCCACAGCAAGGAGGGGCCCCGTAAATCATCGCGGTGCCCCCTATCAAACGGTTATCTTACCAGTCTGCATGACACAACATCATCCAGCACATGTATCCAACAACAATGTTCGCAGACCCACGAACACCTCCTGCCTGTGCCATTTCCTCATGAACCATGCCGCCCCGTCCTCGACCTTGTCGTACCACACCTCCGGATCCTTGGCGCTCTCTTTCCATTTACCCCCTTCCTTTTCGTCTCTCATGTTGAACGCCACGAGGTCCTCTCCTAGACGAGGCACCCAGTCGCTCTCCTGCCCGCCCCGGTATCCCACGCCCCCCGCCATCGCTCCTAACAGCATGCGCTTGGGGAGGCGGCTGTCCTCCATGCGCATAACAAAGCCCGCGAAACACAGTCTCCGTTTGCGCACGGTGGCCTCGATGGTTTCCTTGCAGCCTGCCTGGATGAGGGCCTGGGCATAGGATAGGGGGCGGTCTGAGCGTTTCCGCTTGCTCCAGCCGATGCACCGTGTAAGGAACTGGCGGTGGGTCCCATTGAGCTTCGTGTAGTGCTCCACTGAAAGGCTCCACGAGGCACACCCATACAGGAGAGTCTCCACCACTTCAGCCTGGAGTAGCCGGATCTTGAGGTGAGGTTGGCCCGTCGCCTGTCGTACATCGAAGCACCGTTCCGGCGGTAGCACTTCCACGCTCGGCAGCTGCGGCTCGTGATCTCCCGGTCGGCGTGTTCGATGAGGAACATTAACCAATACAGATACAGGAGCGTAAAAGAACAAGACATAAAACAACTGATGGACCAATGCTGATGCCGAGTGGTACAAAGGTCGAGCCTCGGTAGAAGAGGCTGCCATTTCTAGCCAGTGTGACAACGGGAAGCGGATGTTCAAAAAGATACCCGCACGGATGTTGCATATGTACGGTACAACCGGACGGAGCAGGTGTGTCACTTCCCCACAGCAGCACACAGCAGTTTACCGCAGTAGTACAGGAAACGAGCACAATGCACAGCAGTAGTACAAAAGCAGAGGGTCGGGAAACTCAAGCGGACACGGGTTACTGGAGACAAACAGGGCATGTCCGTCTCCCTCCCTCTCTGCCCACTTGCCTGGCAGTCGTCCTTGTGCTCCAGGGTATGTGCCAGCTGCTCCGTATCAGTTTGAACGCGTACTCGTTCATCGATGCGTACAGCAGTACATCTATCCTCGAGAGTATCGCCGCCTACAGATGTCCGCAAGGAAGCACGGAAGTGTGTGCTCTTCCACATTTAGGTGCCGCGGCTCGAAAACAGCCTGCTTCGTCTTGGGAACAAGACCATGAACGAGCGTCGACATGAACACCCCTGTGCTCAGCCCTGTGCTGTCGCGGTGGGATCGCTGCTGCGTGCACCTCGTCTAGAGCATCTCCTCTCGATCGAGAAAAAGCGTTGCAACAGGAGTCACACACGTTTTCTGCTGTTCACCGTGACACAGACAGTATCCAAGTTAGCGCTGTTGTTGCCTACCTCTTGTGGTACGTCCTGTGGCGCCCTTGGCTGGGGACGTAGTACCGATGCTCCACAACTTTGGAAAGGGCTAATTCTATTTACATCACCGGTGGCGTTATTTCTTACATACGTCACCGCCCGTATCTCAGCCCACAGAGCTTCAATTGGCACAAAATGAATTGCGTTTTGTAGCTATGACCCACACCAATCATACAATCTAATTTGAAGCAAAATCCACTCGGTAGTTGGAGAGGCATGCTCGAAAAAGGGGTCTCAGCGGAATCAAACGGTGGGCACCAACCACATATTCCACCGTAACTCCGCGGCAAGAGCTCCGCTCGACGTCAAACAAACTGTGCTGGTTGACTACACTCCGTAGCCGTCGTTCAAGCCATCGGGAACGTCCATCCGACCAGTGGTTGCCGAGGTATGCTCCCCCACGGGGCACTGTGGCGCCGTAGGGCGGTGGCATAAATAAGCGTTTATACGACACCGCCCGGATCTCAGCGCACAGGTCGTTAAATGACACGCGACAACGTCCGCTGTGCTGGAACGATTCCCCGCTTTTGTTGAGGCCATCGGGAACGTCCATCCGACCGGTGGTTGCGGCGATATACTCTCCCACGGGAGCAAGGTGGCGCCGTAGGGCGGTGTCGTAAGAAGCTAGTATACGAGATCGCCCTTTGATCTCAGCGCACAGGTCGTTAAATGACACGCGACAACGTCCGCTGTGCTGGAACGATTCCCCGCTTTTGTTGAGGCCATCGGGAACGTCCATCCGACCGGTGGTTGCGGCGATATACTCTCCCACGGGAGCAAGGTGGCGCCGTAGGGCGGTGTCGTAAGAAGCTAGTATACGAGATCGCCCTTTGATCTCAGCGCACAGGTCGTTAATTGACACGCAACAACGTTCGCCGTGCTCGCACGAGTCCTAGCTATCGTTGAAGCCATCGGGTACGACGATTCGACCAGTGGTTGCCGAGGTTTGCTCTCCCATGGCGCCGTACGGCGGCAGGCCTTTTGACCTGGGGTCGGGCTTTGGACAAGACTTCGCCGGTTGAACTGCATGTGTCCACCTGCTTTCACACAAGTATCCAGGAAGTTACCCTCGATCAGTTTGGGGTTGGTCGCGAATAGTTCCTACACGGGACGCGGCAAAA